AGACTAGAATACGCATGTTTACCAACTTGGAAATCACAAGCATTCACTCCTCCCTTGACCCCAGCATTTGATCTTTTCTTCTTCTCTGACACCTTTTAAGTTCACTGCCTACAGAGAAAGATTGCACGCAAGGGACACCAACCAAGTGCCAAGGCTGGGAAGGCAGTGATCTCATCCTGAAAATGGTAGCAACATGTCGCCTTACAATTGTCCACCTTCAGGACAGCTTCACCTGGATGACAGACTGTCACAGAGCCCATTTACGCAGATATTTATGGAGCTACTCAGCAGCTGCTGCGGTCATAGAGGAGGCTAGGTCAGGGCAGCAACAGGCTAGAGGCTGCTGTTCCCCCAAAAAGGGAGACTCCTCTTCCCATCATAAATAGGACAGAAACTCAAAAACTAGACCTTGTTGCCTTCTAGGTGAAAAAGACTATCTTGCCATAGGAATGACAGTACAGAGGAGCTCCTTTTCCCTTAGGACATAGCCAGGTCCTAGCAGTTGTGATTCTGGGAAGGTCGTTATCAAACAGTTTGGCTTGGTTTCAAGTGGGTGCAAGAGATCTGAAACTAAGAAATACCTACAGGTAAACTGTAGTCATCTCTCACCTCCATGCAACTGGACTGACTTATATAAATGACACTGGATGGGCTCTTCCTTCATTAGGCTTGTAGAGAATAAAGGTGTTTGAGGGAGAGTGTTAGTTCTTCATTTCACACTGTGCTGTGCAATAAAGGAAGTGCTGTAAAAGGGGAGGCTAGATGGATGGCATTTCACTGAAAGCTACTCAAGCTATTGCTAAACCTAGTCGTGGACTTTCCAAGAGAAAAAGGAATGAACAGGACTGCAGGCAAACAAGCTAGAGAACTGAGGAACAGAAAAGGGACAATCACAACAAACCAAACACTCGAACTACCCCTCTACCTCCAATAAAAGGCTCTCTGAATATATGGTACAGAAATTGCCACGTGCCAGTTATTGGGAGTGCCAGTGGAGGAACGCTGCTACCCCCAAAGCCCATTGTTTTATTCAGATGGCATCTGCAGAACAGGATTGCAATGTCAGCAACTGCTTCCTAGTGCACATTAACAGGGTTTCTGAGAGCATGGCTTATCTCCAGGTGTGTTGGCATGTGCTTTCCTTTCATGGAAAGTCTCCTTTCATCTCTTTTGGTGAACAGAGCTACTGGGACCAGTGAGATCACAGGCTAAAAGCTCTGCTGGTGCAGCTGCCCAGAGACGGAGGGAGTCCAGTCCTTGTTGCCCTTTGAAAAAGGGACAGACTACACAGCCAGCACAGGGGCTATGGCATATCTGCACCAGGCACAGGCAGCTCCTGCTTTCAGCCAAACCTTGGGAAAAAAGGAAACCAAACTCAAACAAATATTCCCATATTTCAGGGAGCAGCAGCTGCTAGACTTCTCTGCCACGCGCTGGCTGCACAGCAGGTGATAAATGGAAGGATTTTACATGGCTGTCCAAGCACCCCAGTAGCTGAGACACTTGTCTTCAACACAGGAGGGCCCATGGCCAAACTCCTTCTGCTTATTCACCTCAGTATCAGCCAGGAAAAGAGCTTTCTGTGCACTGTCCCCCCTGCGTTATTTGCTGAATAAAATTCTTCCTCATTAAGAGGCCAAAGCCCAAGAAACAGCCACTGGAACAAACAAGGTTCTGTGCAGCTATAATCCCCACCTCACCGCTGGGGAATTAAAGCAAAGAATTAGGCTGTAGCTGTTCCCTTCCAGCACGATGAATGCTTAAGCAGGTTATGGCTTTGCACTGCAGACGTTTTCTGGGGAGAAGAAATAATGACTTCTTTACCAGCCCAACTCACTAGCTACTCTCAGGGAAACAAGCTTGAGGATTATTTTCTGACAAAACAGTTAAGAATGATTACTGTATGTCAGTATGTTTGAAGTGTTAGCTTCAAGGATTGCTGAAAGTGCCAGTATTTCTCCAGCCTTTTCCCTTCAGTGCTCTTTGTGATATGCAGAAGGGGCCTCGCTAACGTGAAAGATGCCAGCTCACAGGACAATCTTCTCACTGCTGCTGCAGCAAAAAATACAGGTGCCTCCGAAAGAAAGGTCCTAATTCTCCACACAGGAAAGCCTGCCCTTCAGAGACTTACATTGAGTTTGTCAAGCACTGCAAGAACAGAAGTTACCTAGAGAGGAAAAAAATAGTCAATTGCTGCTGGACTTGCTACCTGAACTGCTCAAAGGTGAAAACTTACTCTGTAATTCTGGAGCAGAACCTGGCACTTTGCTAGTCAGGTCAAGAAGCAGCTGATACACTTGAGGCAGACATGATTGGTGCTGTTTTGCAAGAAGGTGGGATGCGGCAGTTCTTACAGATTTTGATCCTGTTCAAGCCTATGGGCTGATTACACACTATACAAAGGCCAAGTGAGATTCCTCCTCCTAAGATATTTATAGCAGACTGCAAGGGGAAGCAGGGAGTGAAGCAGAGACCTTAAACTGTTACAAGGCATCCTAGATGGTAGATCCTAAATTCCTCCAGACTATGAAAAACTTACAGCACATTGAAATGAGAAACAGGAATGGAGCAACAGTGGAGACTGCAGTCAGGGCTAACCCTGAGAGGAAGCTTTGGATGTGGTGGTGCCAATTCAGAAAGAAGAACATGGGCTGGATACAAACCTAAAGGGATGGGGGTTGTGTTAGAAGAGTTAGCAGGACACAGAGCATACAGGTCTTGCTAGCAGATCATCACTTACTAGCAAAAAGCAAAGAAAAGGTGATGAAGCTGCCAGCTACCACCCATGCTGGGTTTTGCACCTGGTTTCCACTCCACGTCACAGTAGAGGATCCAGCTTAGCATGCTCCTTCCTTCCCCTGTGTGGCCTGGAAGGTGATCTTTTCTCCTGAAAAATCCTGCTTTAACAGCCCAACTCCACACAGTGTATTTGAAAAAGGGGATGTTATAGGCTGCCAAAACCATAGCCCAACAGAAGCTACGTGGGTACTGTAACCAACAGCAGTAAATTCACATGCCTACAAGAGCCAAGGTAACGCAGTTGAAAGGGTCCAAGCAGAGAGGACTGCTGCTTCGAAGTGCAGCAGCACTGTCTGGTTCACAGAGATTACCTGGGGCACCAGTGGGACATGCAGCTCCTCCAGGACACTGGTCTGGCTAGACCTGGGATTTGTTCCACATACAACTGGTGGCACACACAGTGCAACACAGTCCCCAACTACTGACGGGCAAAACCACTGCTTGAAATAACCTTGTTTCAAGCCAGAATAACTTCCAAGGAGATAAATAGCAGCGTGGCTGCTAGAGGCTGTACAGGAGTGGTTGCAGTCCAAACTTGCCACCAGTGATTTAATTGAGGAATCTGCCTTGTGCCAACTGGGCAGAGAAACGAGTGCCGTGGCCATCACAGACACAGATGTGATGCTGGAGACGAGCATGCCAAATCTGCAGAGACAGCACGGTTCAGTGACGCAGACTCCCCCCGAGAATGGGAATCTCCAGGTTTCTTGCTCTGCCACGTGCTGTGGCCCTTGGAAAAAAACCCCTTCTCCTCCTTTGGTGACTTCTCTCTTAAAATAAAGCTCTTGTAGGGAGGCTTGGCATACTACTATTATGACAAAACCAAATTTGACTATTTCCTCCAGCTGCCACTGATAATAAAAAAGCTAGTACTACCTATAATAACAGGAATAAAATTTTTGTACACATGCCCCATGAACAAATGCAACAAGGGACATTCTGCCAGCAGAATCATACATCACCTCCTCTTTTGGGAGTAAAAAGCAGAACACGTGACATACACTTTCAATCAAACCCCGCAACTCCCAAATGACAAACAGCAATAGCTGTAAAGATCCATTCACTTCTTCTCAATCTAGTGATTATTTTATGAAAATGTTTAGCCACGAGTGTTCTAAAATATAACAATTTATTCTATTATGAGTAGTCCTGAAACAGAAAGGGGAATAATTCAGTAATGCTACTGATTTTATAAAACTTTTGACTCTGTACTAAATAAAGATGGTATCATTCCTAATTTTCTCCTTAGGGTTTGGATATTACAAACCCATTGAATATTACAGCATCACAAAGTAGCTACTCAACAGTTAATTCCTATTTAGGAACAAAATCCTCTTTTTCATATTTTAATGAATTTTCTCCAAACTGGTAAAACATGTAGACTTTTTATTCCAACCACAGAAAGCAGCGACTGAACAAAAATAATAATAGCTGCATAATACTTCCTCATTCCACCACCTCAGTAACACTGCTACAAACAAAACCTCCCCACATGATAAATGTTATTACTAACTATTTCCATCCACAAAGCCAAACCATTCTCTCCATCAGCACTCGTCCAACGCCAAGTGTCTGCAGCTCCCAAGCACATGCCAACTACCTTTTTTGACACACAGCCGACTCCACCTTTGACACAGGCTGAGAGAGACCTTCAGACACCAGAGGCAGACTGCACATTCAGTATGGAGAGAGCTGGGTGTAAGAAAGGGGGATAAATCACAGCTTTCAGTGGATGAGCCAAAGGAGCCAATTCATAACTACAGCATTGTGATGGTTGTGGGGATGATTTGAACTACTGATCTTCAAGTGCTCCTTTTTAAGAGAGAGGTTGGATGAACAAGCTAGAGACACAAGATGTGGTGTGCTTGTGGAGGTTTAGGGACAAAGGCCAGCTCATTTTAATATCAGGAAATGCAAATGGTTTTGCTTTTTCAAATATGCTTAAGCTGTTTTTTAAGACTTGCATGTGCTCTTCTCCCAGCATCAAAATCTATCCATATTCCATGTGTGAAACACCTTGTACAGCACAGTAGCAGAGACAGCGTGCTTAAGTGATCAAAGCACCTTTCATAGCTGTACTACTAGCACTGACAAACAGACCTGTTTTACAAACGCTCTGGTTTATAATCTCAGCAAGAGATGACATGTTTTCCTCCTCCAGCCCCAGGTTGGATGCCGAATTGGCACACGCCGACACTTACCTAGGAAGCCCTCTTCATCCACAATGATGGTGTAGTCCTCTGGGGTTTCCGTGAGGCTGAAGAACTTGCACCTGGCAAAAGCAAACAGCAAGAGAACATGATTAGCTGCTGCACTGAGTGGAGTCTGGTCTTCCACCTATATCGGAGGTCCCTTCCCACCCAAGCTGTGCCGGAGGGAAGAGTCATGGTCTGGTGTTTATGGAGAAACCCGAGGCATTAACAGACCTGGATTTTATTCCTGGCTCAGCCACTCACACTGCATGACCCACATTCCCTGCTGCCTGCCTATGCACAAAAGAGCTGGTAAAACACTTATTATTTTTATGACTTAGTTCTTAGTTACTTTTCTTAATTACTATATCCCTTAAGGCTTCCCGTCACAGTCCAGGACCTGCTGTACTGCACTAACACAGAGCAAAAGGCTTTGCTCACCAAATGATCACTCCAACGACTCCAAAATCCTTCTCATGGTTCATACATGCACCCGTCTTCCCTATTTACCCACTGAAGTTTCTTGCCTTGTCAAGGTTTGACATCTGATCTCTTCAGCAAGCCCCAGTGCCTCTTCCTGCTCCCCCCAGCAGACAGCATCCCAGTTCCCTTTGCTGGTGCTTGCCCCTTCCCTCAGCAAACGCCTCCCTTCCCTGGGGAGCTCCGGGTGAAGAGACAAGTGTTAGAAGCCATCGAACACATGAACACAAGGTTGAACTTCCCTGCCCGCCCCCATCTCTCGTTGCCTCTGTTCTGCTTCGTGCTCATCTTTTCACACTGCAGGCCATGTGCAGCACAGCCTCTCCATCTCGTTCAGCACCGAGCACAATGTCACCTCGAACGTGAGATACAAAACAAATGTGACATGGGATTCTTCCACCATAGACATGCAAACAAAAAAAGCCTCAGCCTTAAGGTTTAACACCACATATAGTTGAAAAGTTTTCCTCCACCACACCAACGTATATACATACAGCAACATCTACTAAAAAAAAAACCAACCTAAAACAACCTTTCTCCAGCTTCTGTCCGGCTGACCCCCAGCAACAGCAGGGAGGTTTGCACAATTTTGCAAGCTCGTGTTCACCTTCAGCAGAGCGTGCACTTGTGGAGCATAAGCACAGTGTTTGGCCAGCTTCCTCGACCCACGCAGGGCTCCTGGCCCCTCCAGGAGCATGCCAGACTGCACCGACTGTATTTGCCACCCAAGCCACAAGAGAAATTTTTCCCTCTAGGAAGTCAAATCGGGTGCAACAGGAAGAGCCTGTGTCTGTAAGGACCAAAGAGCAGAATTTTGCAGTTACACTGTAATACTATCAGATTTATCTGGGGCAACCTACAGAAAATATGATAGATGGAAAAAGAAAGATTGTTCTTAAGGCCCCTGAATTTTGCAGCATGTTCACAGTATAATTCCTGCATGGAGCAGAGTTCAGCAGGACCCAGCAACCATGGACTACCAGGGCTTCTCAGCACTGCTGAGCACCGATGTCGCAAAGTCTTCAGGACTTCTGAAAGTCAGGAACCCCATGCTACCAGCTCAAGCATCAGAAAATTGAAGCATTCACTTGATTACAGAATCAGACTAAAAACTGGCTTGAGCTTTCTTTTGTCCAGCTGAAAAGAACAAAGATTGCAGCTATCCCTTCCAAAAACAACAGGGAGAAAATGAGACGGCTGCTGCCCTCCCCCTCAGAATCAGAAAAACTAGAAGAAACAACATGTAGCTCTGTTAGTGATTTGCCATGTGACCAACAGGATTTCATGTAAATAAAAAGTATTAGACAACCTGCCTTTAGAGACCCGTCCTGTTTTCCTGGAAGCATCCGTCAGAACAATCAAGCATGACACTCTCCCTCCTAGCAGAGACATATCACTATAAAATACAGAAGTGGCCCCACCACAACAGAAACCACAACTTAATTATTTTATGTCATTGGTAATAACTGCTGTGACAGCCACATTTTCTAACTCAACTCTCTCCAGGAATAGTGCCAAGAGCAAGCAGAAAACAGTAGCAACCCAAATTTTTCACTCTCACTTCTTAACTGAACAAGGATGCTACCTGTGTGAGGGGAGATCTAGGCTGGGTAAAAAGGACTTCTGGGATGGTGCTTCAGGTAAGTCCCAGGAGGTATAAGTATTTATTATTTAGTGGATTAATTCCCTGGAGAAGTAATTGAAATAAAATTCTTTGCTACTACTACCCAACTGAGCCACATACATGCTGACTAGGGAAAAGCTAATGGTCTTAAAGAAGGAGAAGTTAATATTAAAAAGAAAAAAAAATCCTGATCTATGATGGCATTTATGGAGGAATTTGTTCCAGAACAGTAATACACGTCTATGTGCACACATTGACCCCGGCAGAAAAAGTGTGATTGTGACAGATGCCATTCTCTTAGCACACATCTAAAAGCAATGATATTTAAGGGATATGTACAGACGAAATCCCATAATTGCTGGCTCCGAGTGCGTATCAAAAGCTCACATCTTCATATACCATCTCAAAGCCCAATTCCCACGTCACTGCAATTCTGTAAAAGGTCAGCAGCGTAGAGCCATCTAAATTCAAAAGTGAAGCCTTTTCACCAACCCAGAGAAGACCAGTGGTTCTTGTGGTGTACATTCACTTTAAGCCAACGATGCATTATTTTTCCCAGGGAAAAATCTAAAAATGAAAAATTGGAATTGCAAACACTGAGTGATAAAATATGGCGTGGAACATTTTCTTACCATCACATGCTGCCAAAATTCAAGTCCTCACCCTAAAACCTGTGCCTCAGCCTAGATATGTAAAGATCTACTTCCACTGCAAATGCAACTCAAAAACTGTGTCTTGAATCATCAATGACAGAAGGAACTCAATGTCATATCTCTCTCCTGCACTATACATGCTTTTTCCATTCAAGTTAGTCCAATCATTTATCTTTCCTCTTAACACAAGTTCTCAATAAGCTGAATGCCAACAGCATCTTCTATTATCACACCAAAGCCAAGAAAGGAAAAGAATTGCCCTTTAGTAATTTTGAGACATCAGGCAAACAGTATTTCTCTAAGTACGTGTGGAAAGCATATATGTAAGACAACAATATTTTTAGTTTCCTAATAGCCAAACCTCAGATAGATTCTTCTGGATTTCTGCCTTCTTCATGTTTCAGCACATTTCCACTTCAGCACTGTTGCTGACTTCGACTGCCTGACAACATATGTCTTTTTCTGGCAACGCAGCAAATGTAGACCAATCTATTATTAGATTAGATCTTTGAAACTGCAAAGCTTACACTGTGTATGGAAGTAATACCCAAGCTTGCACAGAGCAGGAAAGCGTGTGTAGGATGCAGCAACAGCATCATTTCAGTTTGCAAACAGCACTCAAGTTTCCACGGGAGAAGAAAGCCGGGCAGGGAAGCATACAACGTCCTGGCTGGCCTCACTTGCGGAGCCGCACCAGAAGGGTCTCCTCAAGACATGTGGTCCCCAGGCCTGCCGAGGTCACCAGGGTGGTAACGCTGCAACGAATGTGACTTCCATTGGTTCTGGGTCACGCACAAAGCGCACGCTTGTGGCAGTACTGCTGGGGTCATCTCAAAGTTCAGCTCAGACGATGGTCTTTAAGGAAGCACCAAGTCCTATCTTCTCATTTATAAGGGAACTACTTGGTTAATTGTTGCCTTGGCAGGGTAAAGTGTTGCAAAGCTGTTTGTTCTGTGGGAAGGATCCTTCCCAGAAGCAGGTGGGCGGGTGGCCTCCCCACATGTCAGAAACCATGGCCAAATGCCACTCAGAAGTAACATAATGCCTAAAAGGCATTCAAATGCAAAGTCTGGAGGTAACCCAAAAGTTTGCAAAGGAGGAGTTGAACTGAATGGGAATTAAGCAGCAGCAGAAAGTTGATCTGAGTGAATACAAAAAACATAATTTGTTGTGTTTTATTCCAGGCTGTCTTCTCATTTTAGATGAGAAGGGATTTGTATGCTTCACTCTGTACATTATCATGACAATATATATTCTTAGTACAGAAAGACAGTCTCATGCTAATCATCTAATTCTTTGTGATCTTAACTTCTTTGCAGTTTATAAATAATGACAAGAGGTGGATTCTAGTACGACATATTGTGAAATGCATTTAGGAAAGCAGTAAAGAACACTTGTGCTGTTAATGCGTTTTGACATATTTGTGTAACATGTTAAGTACTTTACACCATCTAATTACAAGACTACACAGTCAAATGGCACTGAAAATTGCAAACAGTGAAATGGTTGGTGTTTTCTAAACAGTGTATTTGTTTGTTAGCCAAAACACTTTGCCATCTTTTTGGTGAGATTGATAAAACACAGCTTAGCAGAACTCCAAAGACAAAAAGAAGTCCCTTGCAATAGGTGTCAGTTGACTTTCTACTCAATGCTCAGACCAGAAAGTGGTGGGTTCACCTTTCTTAGAGTAACCTAATTCTGCAGCCTGATATTGGAAGGCTGCTACCCTGTTAAAAGGAGCACTATTGTTTCTGCGAGCTGTTTAAACAAACTGTACTATCGTCCCTACCAAGGGTAACACTAAAGATGTCACAGCACTGTTAGAAACGGTCAAAGGACAGTGGCAACATTCCTTCCAGTCATTACTTGTGCTCAGATCTGGGACAGAGACATTGGCAAATACAATCAGGGACCGCCTAAAGAGTGACTGTGATAGCAGAGTTTGGTTCATTACAGAAGGTTAATCATTTTCAAAAACAACAGAGAACAAAACTAACAAATTTGTGGCCAAGAAAAGCAAGTATTCATGAAGAGACATAAATTCAGGGAAGTCCTACAGCCTGTGCTATGCCAAAACTTCCAACACGATAAACATGATGGTCTTGTTTAATCCATAATAATAGGAGTGACAGTTTAAACCACAGATTACATTGTGTAAAGTTACAAGGGGGGATAGTCAGTCAACCCCTCTCCTTGCTACTTTGTGTAGCTGGAGAAGTTATCTAAGTCTTTATTTAGACTTTGAGACAATGGGAGCAAAATAACAGAAAAATGATAAGCACCCTGAAGGAACAGAAATCAAAACACAAAAAGGATGACCTGCCATACGGAAAATAAATAAATAAATAAATAAATAAATAAATGTGGATGTGCTGAAGAAGATACTGATCTTAAGTACAGCTTATTGATAGAGCCAGGACACATGGCAAAAACAAACAAGGATTATTCAAAAAAATGTCAACTGAGTGCCTACTGTATTGGCCTTCATTAAACTGGTATCAAACTGTGGTTCGAGTCTTCCTCAAAACAGTTCCATGTGGTCTGAACTACAAGAGCCCATACAAATCAAATTACTGCTGTAAATCAAAGACTAGCAGTAGCTTGACACAATACCAACTACTAATTCTGATATGATTTCTAATTTTTCTGGAGACAGACTTGGTCAGTGAGACTTCCAAAGCTGCAGATTAAACAAAGCTACAACATTCAGGAGTTATCCTGCAGCATAACCACAAGAGATTTTTTTTTTTGGTTCTTTAAACACACTTGGAGTTTATTTTGTATGACTAGCAAAGCCCAAGTCATGATGCTTTCACTAGTCAACGCACAGCGCTTGCAGTATTGCTTTCTAAAACTGTTACTTGGGATACTAAAACATAATCTTTCCTTCATTTGTCATGACAGCATTTTTTTAATACTTCCTAAAAAAACAATTATAAAGCAACATGCAACTTGGCTGGTTTATTTTTCCGCCTTCAACAGACTTCCACCATCATATTTAGGACGATTCTGTAAGAAAATCTGTTTTATCTCCACTTACGTGTAGAAATAAATTCTTGCCAAATATGAAGAGAGAAGCCAAAACTACACTGAATAGTAGTAAGAAAATACACCACATGAAGAAACTAAAGCATGTTACATGTTGGAATGCAACGGAAAGTTCAGCTTACCGAAGGAAACTATATAAGGGAGATGAAAAGGTCCGAGTCCACCTAAGGGCAGCTCCCTCATTAAGTCACTCTATCTAATGAACGTGAACAATGCTGGTTTCCCATCCCAGCACAACTACCAACAGGCAGAGTCTGCGATGCTTAGCAGAGATGTACTGTGGGAAATATAAATGAAGCTTAAGGCCATGAAAGTGTTACTGTGCTCATCTGTAATTTGTGCATTGAAGGAGCCAAATACGGAGATGGTTTT